AGGAATGGTCTCCAAGGGTTGGTTTAATGGTGTAAGAAAAAAGAAAAAGTCCTGTGTTCCTACTTCCTCTATGTGCTAAAACTAAAATATAAAAGACACCTTGTCCTCCAGGGTGGGGGAGTGGCTTTGGCTTTCCAGAGTAATAAGGATGCATCGTGTATACGGTCCCTGGGGCTCCCGGGACAAAGAGAGATCTTGCAGTGTGAATGGTTACGTGTTCAGCCATCCGTTCAGAAACCCTCCCGCGCCTCTGCCTCTTTACTCACTGTCGCTCTTGTCCACCAACACAGCGTCTGACTCCTCTGTGATCTCCAGCAGCGTGTGCATCTCAGGGCTCTCCTCTCTCATCAGATCTGTGTCTGCCTCTTCCCCTCCCACTTCCACCATCTCTGTGGCTTTCACTTCCACTGCACCCTCTCTGATCTTCTTGACATGGAAAGTGAAAGGTGGCACCTTGTAGACAGCTGTCTTGGACCTGGCATAAATGGTGTGGTCAGGGGTGAAAGACTTTTTCAGTTTGTCCCGAGAGGTCTTCATCTTCTCCCTTCTTTCATTGGTCACGATCTTGGTGCCTAGCTTGTTCATTCTCTTCTCCAGGTTGTGCCGGGTCTTCTCCAGGTTATGCTTGGTTTTCTCTAGGTTTTCCTTGGTCTTTATCTTTGTCTTCTCCATCTTCTCCTTGGAGAAAGCTTTCTTGAAGTCATCCACCCTCTTCATGCCGCTTCTCTTGATGCGCTCTGCCCGGGATTCCTCAATGATTTCCTCAATCTCCACCTCCTCATCTGAGGAAAGCTGGATGCGGTCCTCATCAGCGTGGTCCTCACCCAGGGGCTCCTCCTCACCCTCCCCTTCCTTCTCTTGCTTCTCAGTCTCCTTCAAAGACTTGCTGATGCTCACCTTGGATGGCAGCTTCACTTCATCCTGCAAGACACAAAATGGAATCCGTGAGAAACCCATGTGGCAGCTGCTCCTACCCTCAGTCTGAGCAGCTACTGAACCTGCTGCCCAGCTACCTGCCCTTACTGGAACAGAGAAATAATGGGGGTTGAGGTTTATGAATAATCTGACCCCTGGGACCAAATTCAGCCTTTGGCAGCTGCTATCAGGCCTGGACTCATCCCTCTCTTTTCAAAATACCTGGTAAATGACTCCTATGAGGGCTCAGATCTCCTGCAAAACAGCTCAGGGCTCAGTAAATTTAAGCACAGTTATATCTGCTCTGCCACACAAGGCTAGGTTAGAAACCCATCAGTGCTTTAGCCACAGAAGAGACCTGAAGACACTGGAACTGGGGCTTTACCCATGGCCCTCTTCCCAACCCTCCTTCCCTCCTCTGTCCCCATCCCCAGAGCTGCCAGCAGCAGTGCCAGGCATCTGCATCAGACTCTAATATCCTAGTTTGTTCATAGCGCTACAAGGACAGTTCAGCTATGAGTTTTGTTTCTATCCCATGACCAAAGATGCAGTCCCCACCTTCTCATCCACATCTAGCCCCGCTGACTCCAGGAGAGATAATCTCCATTTACACCAGCATCAGAGAAGAATGCAGGGGTTTGCATATGTCTGCCAACAGTAGCACATAAGGCATAGCGTCCCTTTAAATACTTCCTGAGCCTGGCGGCATCTGCTGTAGTCCATGTTTCAGGATCTCCCCAGAGCAGCAGCCTGGATACAAATGGGCTTTGCATATTTCTATATACTAAGGTTATCTGCACCTGGCTTTGTCCAGGTACTTATTTGCAAAAGACACAACATGCATTCCCATGGTCAAGACTTTTTTTCACTCAGACCAGCATCTAATCTCTGAAGTGCAGGCAGCAAAGGCAGCTTGGCCCAGAAAGCAGAGCTTAATAAATCACATTGCAAAAAACCCAGGCAGCATCAGGTCTGCAGAGAAGCACAGCTGACCTCTCTGTTCTTACAGCTCCAGCTGCCTGGGCTTCCAACCTGCCCTCCAGAGTGAGAGGGGCTGGGAAGGAGGTGAAATGGGACTGACAGCCTTGAGTGCGCAGGGAGCGCCTCATTGCTCCATCTCAGCCCTTCCCCGTGGTGGGACGCAGATCTCCCAGCACTGGTCAGACACCCCCAGTCCTCTTGTATGACTGGGAAATGACCTCCCAAGCAGCGAAGTAGCATCACTGTCTCATGAGGCTCAGGCTGGTGTCTGTGCAGACCCTAGCGTGATGCTGGAAGATGCAAGCCCTAGATCCTCTATAGGAGGAGGCACAGAACTCCACTTGCAAGGGGAGGTATCCATGTGAGGTATCATCTCTTGGAGTTCCCATAGTTCATGCACAGTGACTCATCGTCTCCAGCCAATTCCTTAACCCCCTCAGGATTGCAGGGATTTGGGTCCTCAGAAATCATCTGTGATCCTGTCAAGGGCACCTGCTGGCTTTCCCCTGGGGGCTAAGTCTCTGCTTACAGCATGGGAAATTCCCATGTAGGGGCCTCTTGCCAGGTCCAGGTGGACTGAGGATAGACCGGATCTTAAATCCCAAAGCTTATGTTTCTGGGTTTTTGGTGTAGCCATATTGCAAGGTTCTTTGGGTAGATGTGATATCTTTTATTAGACAGAGTAGTTGGAAAAAAGTTCTTTGCAAGCTTTTGTGCACAATCACCCTCCTTCAGGAATAGGGAGTCTCTGCTGTTCTGAGACTCCAGGGAATGAAAGAAGCTACAAGTGAGAATGTAAATAGGTGGAAATTAGGAAAACAAAAGGCAGAGAAGGGAAGGGAGGGGGAAAAGGGGAGGGGGGGAGCAGCAAAGGTAAGTAAGGGAGACTCTACTGTAGTAGTTTTCCAAGATAGAAAAAAGGCTGTCTGTGAAAAAGTAAATAGCAGAAAATTAGGAAGACAAAGGGTAGAAAAGGAGGGACGGAAAGGAGGTGGGGAAGGGAAAGAAAAGTGTGAAAGGTCAGGTCTGGCAGGTTCCTGGTGATTCAGATGTCAGGCAGGTTATAATGTGTCATAAATCCAGTGTCTGTATTGAGTCCATGATTTTTTGTATCCAGATTTATGAAGTGAAGTTTGTAGGCTCCTCTATGAGAAATGTGTTGTAAATTCCCTTTGAGGATTAGAACTGAGAGGTCGGAGAGGGAGCGATTGTCCTGTGAGAAGTGTGCACCCACAGGTAGTTGGGTCTTCTTGTCCTTGACAGATTTTCAGTGTGCGTTCATTCTGGTGCGCAGTTGTTGTTTGGTTTCTCCGACATATTTTCCATCAGGGCATTTGGTGCACTGGATGAGTGCACTTTTCCCCAACTACTCAGTTGGTCTAATAAAAGATAGCATATCTACCCAAAGAACCTTGAAAGCTTATGTTTAGCCCTGTTCTAACAACACAGATCCAGATGCCCACCCTCTGGATTTCCCTTTATCTGCCAGGCAGAAATGATCTGCCCTCAGCTTCAAAAAGCTCCCAGCACTGAAAACCAGGCAGAGACCTCTGTCTTGGAAGGGCTTGTTCTCAGTTCTGCAGAAAAAGAGAGGGATCACGAGTGCCCCCTGGTGCACAATGAGGGGCATCCCAAGAGCACAAAGCCGGTGGAGAGGAAGTAGCTGCTCCTTTGCACCAGCCATTGCACTTCTCCCCCTTTCCTACCTGCCTGTGCCCTATCAAATGCCTTGTCATCAAGAGCAAAGCTCAGTAAGAGTAAATGCCCTGTCACTGAAAGCAAAACTCCATTCCCAAGAAATTATAGGTGATTTGTAAGGGCCATGCTCTTGCCTTCTATTCATGGCTCTAGGATGGGAGCAGGGAATAGTGTTTGATCAGGACCTGAGCTCCTTATTCCCGGATGTGTACCCCTAGCTCCCTATGTGACTTCCGGGAGGTCCCTTCCCCTCTTGGTGCCTTGGTTTTTTTCTTGGAAAGGGGCTTGCGCTGAGCTGGTGCGGCAGCGACTTTCCTCTGGGGAGGCCAAACCCAACATCCCCTCACCTCGTGCCCTGCAAGAAATGCGCAGTTGCCCTGGCCATGAGCAAAAATCTCTCTGTAATCTTTATAACAGGCAGCAAGAGGCCAAGGAGGTGGGAAAGACTGAGGAATTTATAGCCTTCATAACAAATATTCTTGTTTCAGAATATGCCTAAAGACATGAAATCTCACAGCCTCCCCCAGAGCTTCCCAGACTGAGGGAAAGTATCCTGGCAACATGAAAGAAGAAACAAATATGTGGTGAAGCCCGTCAGCTTCACTGCCTCCCCCACTTCTCTACTCCCCCCTTTGGCACAGAACTGGGAGGGATTCACTCAAGGTTATTCAGAAGACCCCAGGAGTCCTGGTGTCCAATCCTACCCCAAAAGCACTGGTCCTCCCTACACCCTGACCTTTTACCCTGGGACTGAAGAAACAGCTCGGCTGGGGCCTCGGTTCATCCCCAAATCAGGGTAAAAAATAAACGTGGAGCATCCTGTTTTCAATCGCTAAATCAGCTAATTGAGGCATCATTTCAAATATCTTTGTTGTCCACTAAGTTCAACAAAGGCACAAAAATGGAGCTAGAAATACCCCATGGCTCAGCCAAGGAAGGCGGGATGCTCCGGATGCTGCAGGACTAGCAAGGGAGCCAACAGCAGATAGAGGAGCCGAGTTCCTGGGAGGTCCTCAGCCAGGAGGCCCCAGCCAGAGTCTAAGATGGCTTTCTCCAGTGAGCATCTGAGTATGGGGCCCTGAAGAGTTTGAGACCAGTGGTGTGATCTCTGAATGACAATGATTATGCTGCTTTCAGATGCCAGAGTGCCACGATGTGGAGGACAAATTCTCTCCCTCGTAGTCCCCATAACCCGTGCACTGTCTGGAGCACAGGGCTGTAGGAGCCTGGTGGGGGCCCAGGGCTGTTTCCCTTGCCCTCTCCTCTCCAGTCTGCCAAGGGCATTACCTCACTTTCACCATTTACACTGGAAAGTTTCCATCCTTCCTTTGTTTGCCAAATCAGCAAGAGTATCCCGTGGGCCTGAATGGCTCCCCCGTCTCCCACCCCTGGCCAGAGGTCTCTGTCAACATCTTTTTAGGCAATCAGAACTTTCCTGTTGTTATTCTCACAGTCAAACACAATTAGGCGCAGGAGCCCTCGCTTCACAGTTTTCCCTCTTGTTCCATCTCACAACAGGCTATCAGGACAGCTGGAAGGTCTCTGCACAACAGGCCAGCAGGGTTATTGCTAGGGTGGGGCCTGGGATGTTACAGTTGAGCTGAGAGAATAGGCTCCCATCCTTTATCCTGTGGTGCTTTGCAAGTGCTTTCCCCCATGGGCCTAAGCCAACCCTGTCTGACCCTCACATGGTCAGGTACTGGTCTGCAATGAAAGTATAAAATGTTCCCAATCCAGAATTCTCTGCCTGCTTTGCTTTGCCAAGGGTATAAAGGGTAGTATGAGACACAGGGCTGGACAGGATGGCGCTGTGTGGGTGCATCTACACGAGATGTTTACTGTGCAGTTGACTAATTAATTGCACAGTAAACATCTCAGCATCTACGTGTGCATCCCTATTAGGGTGCACAAAACTAATAAACTTGACAGCAGGGTAGTACTTGTAAATACAGATTACAGGACAGAATACAAGGTCATTACCCCAAATGCAGAATACCCTGCTGTGGAGTTTTTTCATGAGCAGCACTGCACGTGTAGATGCTGTCCAGGCTGGCTGGAGCATAATGGTGTTTCAGTGCGGGGGCTGCCTGCTAACTAGCTCCATGCTGAAGCACCTTCATGCCCCAGCTAGCCCTTCCACAGCACACTGAGTGCAGTCAGAGCAGCCCCAGGCTGGCAGGCTGACTCCCAGAGTCCCCTGCCAGCTGGGGCTCCTCCAACTGGGCTCCATGTGCTACACATGAATAAACTCTGGAGCTGATTGCTCCAGAGTGAATTGCTCCAGACCACATGTTCAAATGGTGTGCCCAGCAGCAAAAAACTCTGGA